CACGTAACTGTTTAGTTGCTAGATGGCACTACTTACTCTTTACTGCCATCTGTTTTTTTGAATATCGCACCAGATCTTATCTATCGAGATTATCTATATCTTTTTATCTTGATAGCAAATTTTCTCCGGCTAGAGTTTAACTGGAGTGTTGTCATTGAGGAAGGGAGGGGTAGTGGAGCCCTCGAATAAAATAACCCTTCAGTTTGGTGCAAGAATACCAGCCACACGCGTTATTGCCAGCTACATGTCGCCCATGCGAGAGGGCAGCATCTGCGGCATGGAGTTTTAGCTTCCACGACTGTGGTATTCCTGACCAGAGGGTCAAATTAACCGCGAAGATTAATTGTAGGCCAAAATTGCTAGCAGGAAAACTTTTTTGATCAATATCTAGACGCATTTACAAGAAAAGGAGACAGAAAAGGGTAAATATTGCCAACACATTCCTTAGTTCGACGGAGTAGAAGCTTGTTCGCAATGATTAAAGCATACCTTGCTTTGTCGGTCAATCCCAGCCTTGCTAGGCAGTATCCAATACCAACCCTCATGTCAGCGGGCCCGCTGGGCTTTTGTCGCAAAGCCTTAAAACATGAAAAAATGAGGAAAAATAAAAGACATGGCGGATACTTCAACCATTAAAGACCTCACCCTTTTCAGAAAGTAGAGAGCTGTCTTGTAATCTTGTTTACTAAATGCTATTATTGCTTTACCCATCATGGCCGGTATATCATAGGGGTCCTAAAAAGACAACAGCAGATGAAATCGTCTTAAAATTAGAGAAATTCCACACAAAAAAACTTCAGCAAAGCATACCTGTTTAAGAACAAAATTAAATTGTTGGTCTGCCTGGTCCACTTTGCTCGCTCGAGCTTCGACTAGACAAAAATAAGCTCGTCCTGTTAAATGTGGCATATCATACATTTTAATTCGATCTGCTGTTGTATACAACAGAGTGGCTTTCGAGAAAAGATCTCGCTTCCGTTCCTTCGATGTCCGCTCCTTATGGCCCTGAAAAAGGTGACTGCAATAGACTAGACTTTCATAAAATTACAAACTGTGAACTCACCAATCTAACATAATACGCAGCCAATATGTCCAAAGCGCGCATCTGGTCATTTTCAACTTCCGGGTAATCTAAGGAGGCCTCACTTCCAGAAACTTCCAATAAACGTACGAAGTCGTCCACTCGTCCACAGCGATAATATTCCAACTGGAAAAACCTTTTTTGTAGGATCTTATGTTGGAAATTACCTTATAAAGGACTCAGAACAATATAGTAATTCAGTACAATGAGCAACGCTTGCTTCACTCTAAAGACATATTCTGCTGCTGATTGAGGTTTAAGAACCTTGGGTCCCTGGCAATTCACCGCTAAAAAAGGAACCAAGTGGGACTTTCCGAAGATCCATGAATAAGGCTTCTTGATATTAGCCGCGAAGGGAGAGAGTACAAAATGGTGAACGGGGCAACATACACCAGTGATTTTTTTTATAATGGCTTTCATCTAGGCGGGACTGCCACTAGCAGGTGGAGTTGCCATAAGAAATGATGGCCTCGGCCTCTTAGTCCGAACCGTAAGCCGTGGGGCAACTTCTGCAAACAAGGCTACCGTGTACAAGGAAAAGGTTCTAAACATCAGGCAACGGCGAAGTGTATCTTTGAGCAATGATTTTGGACAGTAAAGAAGAAGAAATTTGTATCTCACAACAGTTTCGAGAAAACTCACTCCCAAATCAATCCAGAAATGTAGAGAAGCCTTCTCAGCACGTAAGATCTCCAGAACTTCATCTCCTTCAGGCAAAGCATCAAACGAGATCTCTATAATTTCCTGCAAAACAACAATGAACTTCAGCAAACAATTTGAAAGTGTTCTAGAAATTTGAGCAAAGTTTTTAAGAAGACTCGGTAGACGTCCAATTTTGCCAGGAACAGATTTGAACCAATTCCTTCATTTAGGTGGACAAACAAACAATTTGAAAAAAACGAGTAAATTATGAATTTTTGCAAAACCAAACTACATCTCAGTGCAAACCAAAGCAAACAACCTAGAAAGCACATTATCGTCGACAAAAGGTTCATACTTATAAGTCAAAGCCACAGCGGCGAAGACATCACGATGTTCATACTCGGCGATGTCTGCTAAACCTGCTCGCCGAACGCTCAGTTCGCGATCATACATTCTTATCAAATCAGGGATGACTTCAGCCAGAGTTTTCAATATATGACCCGCGGTAGGGCCAGGGTTCTGCCACAGCTCCATCCAGGCTTGGACACGAGACTGCGCTGTCTGCAACTTAGTGACCACCCGTTCCAAGTCTTTAACTAGATCGCAGAGCTTTTCGGCATCTCGAACAATCTCCGCTGTGAGACGAAGTTTGGTGTCATGATCGAGAAGCACCGTTTCTACACCTTGAGCTCCAGTAAGCTGTTGCTCACTGTCGTGTTTCCCATACATAATTCGTAATTTGTTGTTGATTAAGCGTTCGAGAACTACTGCTGATTGTGACGATATGGCTATCCAGTTCTGTGTGACGTTCCAAATTTCCACTGAGAAGCGCCGGATTCTCTTCAGATATTCCGCCTAAACGGTTCGTCCTGCACACACAGGGAATGCAGAAATAGAGGTGTGGCAGCTAATATCTTCCGTACTGAGGGAAAATTTCTCAAACTGAAGCCAGGAGATATTTTGATAGGTAGCAATTTTGTAAATTGTAGCTAAAACCGTCACTAGCCTTGATTTCAAAAGTCGGTGGGAGAGTAGTTGATATGATGTCTCAAAACTGAATTCCAAAACTGTAGATCAATAAGGGATGAATTGACTCAGAGTTAAACCCCAGAATCTAACACGCTGATGCCCATGTGGAACAAATTTTCGAATTTGTTTATCATGGAAAATAGGCATTCTCCAGTCGAAAAGTACTTACGGTTTCCCTTCCCGCGCTTCAAAATATTTTCTGCATTCCCTGTGTGTGCAGGACGAACCGTTTAGGCGGAATATCTGAAGAGAATCCGGCGCTTCTCAGTGGAAATTTGGAACGTCACACAGAACTGGATAGCCATATCGTCACAATCAGCAGTAGTTCTCGAACGCTTAATCAACAACAAATTACGAATTATGTATGGAAAC